ATTTTGGAATCATGCGTACCAGACGTACACAAGGCGTTGGCTGGACCGTAGTCCGCACCGCACTGAATGGAACTACTGTTTGAGCCGAGTAACGGAAATTCACTGCACAAACGCCATTGGTGCCGGCTTTTCACCATATCAGCAAGTGTGTCCAACCAAACGCGTTCCTCTTCTTTTGAAGCCCAACCCGGCAATCGTGAGGCACCAACTTCGAAGTGAGAGTTTTCATTCCTCCCGACCAAGTCATCGCTTGTCCATTCCTTCTCTTCCATCCACATTCCGGTCGTGCAGGCAACGTACTTCGCGGGAGTCGATGTACTGGGATGCGCAACATGTAACCCAACCATCGGAGCATGATACCTGATGAAATGGTGCTGAGTAGTTAATTCACCTTTCCTATACATCCCCGAACACTTTCATTGCTCACGCGGTGCTCCCACCAGGCATGAGCTATGCTGCGAAGGAAGCGATGGTCAAACGTAGCTATCCTCTTTATGTCTGTTGTTCTGATGTGCCAGATTTCGCTGCGGTATAGAAAGGATAAACGCACAGCTGCATTGTAAACTCTGCTCTTCAGAGCGAGCTTGATGTCGTACCAGAGGCACTGGTGGCGGATGTTCATAAAAGCACCACTAGCTTTTTCCATACCGTTCGTGACCTCACATTCGATCCAACGGCCTCTAATATTGCTGCCCATATACTTGAATTCCTGAACGACTTCCAGCTGATCACCAAGGAACAGCGCACCCCCCCCCCTAATTTTCTTTAAGGACTTTCCATTTCAATGAAGCAAAGGAAAGCCCAAAAATTATTGACAGCTAGTGCTGCTTGGCGCGCTTGTGAGCTGTCTTCTGCATACTCCAAGTCAAGAATTGGCTCACCATTTAGCAGCTTCACACCTTGTCGGTCGTTCCCAGCGAGAGCTGTTCTCTTGAGTGTGGCACTCGTGTTTAAGATTGAAAGTTAACAATGAGCGACCTTGTCTCCCCCCCTGGAGATATTGAGGGGCGGCGACAGTTTGCCATTAGCCTCCAGTCTGCCCGAACTATGCGCGTACAGCGCTCTGATAACGTTTACATATTTATCGGGCCCACCTTTCCTGACTAGACAGTCCGATAGTGCACATCGATCCACTGATTCAAAGGCACTTTTATGTTGAGAAACATATCCGCGGTGGGTCGCCAATAAGCATGGCGATTCTCCAACAGTTGGTGTAGTGTGAAGATGTGGTCGCTGCAGCCTCTATTTCGATGAAACCCTGCTTTCTCCTCACAAATCTGATTTTCACGAGTGCCAATGAGTCTGTGGAGAACGATAGACATAAGCAATTGAGATCAAGCTGATTTCTCTGTGATTGTCGCATCCCGAACTTGATCCTCCTTTAGGAATTAGGACTATAACAGAGCTGCTCCAGTCTTTTCGAATTGTCTGCTCCCACAGCTTCTAATTATCTATAAGAGCAGCTCCCTCTAATTTGTAAAGGGCTGTTGGAAGTCTATCTGCCTCGGCGGCCTTATTCAATTTCAACAGTCTGATCTCACACTTGACTTATGCGCTTGAGGGCTGATTCAAAAGGAGAAAGCTCAGGGAGAATGAAGATCAGTGCCTGAAAAAGTAGTCCGTAACTGGTTGATCAAACTGATTTTCAAGTTGTTCAGCCAACCTTCCAAGCGTTTTGACAAGCTGTGTAGCGATTGTCCACTCTCATGTCGTATCGTCTTGCTAACACCAGATTTCTTGCTGACCATTTCACGTATCAGACGAAATAACTTATGATGGTTACCGATGGCAACGGCTGTTTCCATTTCCGATGCACATTGAGATCACCAAGCTTCTCGGTCTTTCTTCACGCTAGCACGCAGTTCTGCCCTGAGATTTTTGCGCGTCTTGTTGTGCTCGCTTCCAGCCGGAATACGTCAGCGAGCATACAGGATTTCCAGACTGAGAGACCCAATGTCCAGGTTGGCAATATGATTTGCCACATAAAGACATGACTGCTTTAAGTAACGTCTGACGAATGTGCGACCAGGGAACTTCAACTGTGTTCATTGGGTGCTTACTCAGTCCGCATGTCAGCGTACTTTGGTATGCACTCAGAACACCTGGCTTCACCAGTTGGCTGGTGTCTATGCGCTCCCAACGTCGTCGCGGACGTTCGCCGAAATGCACCAACAGCGTGATCGGAGTCCGCACTCGTGCTCCAGATCATTCGTTTTGGACATGGTCACTCCAGCGGTAACAGACCGCCATGCAATGGACTTTCATCTATGATTGGCCCGAGGCTAGTGGGTGCCAAGTCACTCTTCTGCGAGTGCTGCGTCGAAAGTTAGTCCTCACGATAATGAGATATGCATCTTCACACAGGTGTAACAATCGCTCACCGTTACCATTACGGAAGGCTACATCATATTGGTGTCCTAGGTGAAGCTCATCAGTAGACAGTATTCCGACTTGAACTTCAGATCACCAGCAAGCACCACATTGTTCGTACTTTTGCGTTGAAGGAAATCGTCAGTTGGTGCTAGAAGTCATCTTTCACCTAGTCAGCGCCACAATTCGTGTGGGCGTAGACAGCATTGTCAAACAGACATTGTTTGTCCTCGCTCGACTTCAACGCCTGCAGCGAGGCAGCAAATCCGACGGCGCACAGTCGGCCCTTGACTTAGGATACAATCGATCAGAGCAGCTTCATTTCGGGGGCTCAAAACAATGCATACGCCGACTTAACGGGCATTTGGAGCTGCGTCATCTCCGGACAGGCGCAATGAGAATGTGCCGCCACTGTCGCATGTTGGCGATTGCAGGCTAAGCACGGAGCTCGAACCTTGCAGGCGGGTTTTTGATAAGCAACAAATATCAATAGATAAGGTTTTAGTGTTCGTGATAGTGTTGCCTTTGACCAACTCGTAGCAGAACGCAGACGTTCTAGGAGGCATCTTAGCAAGGATCGTGGGCACCAAAGAAAAACAGATGAAATGATGTTATCCCTTTGATTGAGCATGGACTTGTCGACTGGACATGAGCGACACCCTGCGATTGCGTGTGAGTTGAAACTAGAAGACAAGGGACTGTTGAACCTAGACGGCGGAGCGCTAAGATTTGGGGGTTACAAACTGGGGGATAAAAGTGAAATTGGAACGGGATGCTAAAATTGCAAAAGCGCGAGAGGGATAAAAATGACTGCAAAGCTTGAGCAGTAGCCTCCAAACCAGTGGTGCGCATTCCCTCGGTCCCCTACTGGTGATCGAACACGACCGCTAGAGACAGAAGCCAACTAGCCAGCAGCTTAAGCCACCGAGCCATGGAGAACGGCAACAGGGCTACATAATTTGCTAGATAACTGGGGTATTGCACGACCTATCTTTCACAGCCACACAGGTTTCTACCCTTGCAGATAGCAGTGGCTAGCCTCCGACGTCATGACTGACGAACGACAATAGGGCGAAACGCGTCTAGTGCCTTTCCGGATAGGTGTTGTGCTATGTTGCTTGTGATCTGCTGGGACGAATGCATTAAAACTATAACTAAAACCCTCGTATTCATAAGTACTATAAAATATTGCCCCTCCTAGTTTCAAATGCTATGGACATTGCGTCTAGTGAAAGGAAGTCATGTGCTCGGAGGCTAGTCACTGTCTTATGCAAGGGAAGTAACCCGCTTGCCAGTGGGAGAATGGTCATGCCATATCCCAGTTAGCTTGCAAATTATGTAGCCCAGCCAACGTCCTCCATGGCTCAGTGGCTTAAGCTGCTGGCTAGTTGGCATCTGCCTCTAGCGGTCATGGGTTCGATCCTCCTTAGAGGACCGATGGAATGCACACCACTGAAGAGTCCTAATAGGGCGAAACACGTCTGGTGCTTTTCCGGACTAGGCTGTGCTATGTAGCTTGTGGACTACTGGGACGAAAACCACAACGAAATTACAAGGAAATCTTGCTACTTACGAGTAGTATAAAATAAATAGCCTCGCGTGGTTTCAAAATGTTATGGATATTGCGTCAAGTGAGCGGAAGTCATCACCTCGCAGGCTAACCACTGTCAGTGACAGTGAAAGATAGGTGGTGCTATATCCCAGTTAGTTTGCAAATTATGCAGCTCAGCCAACATCCCACATGGCTCAGTTGCTTAAGCTGCTAGCTGGTTGGTGTCTGTCTCTAGCGGTCATGGGTTCGATCCTCCTTAGAGGACCGAGGAATGCGCAACACTGACGAGCCCAATAAAGCGAACGGCGCGTCTGATGCTTTTCCGGATAGGGATTGTGTTACGTGGCTTGTGGGCTGATGGGACGAATGCATCGATGTTGCAACTAGAATCCTCCTACTTATAAGTGATCATTTATCCAACTTCTGTTGTGGTTCGCCTTCCACTCTCATGATAGATGTGCGATTAACTACTGCGCCTGTCATCACGTATGTTGCTTATTTCATGTTATTATACTAACACTAAATCTATCCTTCTCAGCACTCGATTCTAAGTGTTACATTAGTCTAAGGCTTATCTTGTAATGTGTACCGGGTGATACTATAAAATGTGACGCTTGACCGCATTTTTTCACCGCTCTTTTGGTACACACAGATTGCTCGTTTTTCTTGCATTATTTAACATTGAGTTTAATACGCCTACATTTAACTGCAGCAAAGCCAACTTTTCCACTACATTAGCTACTCTAAAGACCCTTCAATGTTACTCTGCTTTGAGTAGATTTGTGGTAGCTGATCCACTCTCAACTATGCTAGTTGGTCATGCTGTTGCGGGTTTAAATTTTCTCTTCATTTGTTAGGCAATACGAGATATCTCTTCGCATTTGTAATATTCGCTTCCGTTCCGTCGCACACGATTATTTTTGTGTCTCCGATACTACTCGCATTGCGTAACGACTGTTATAGGCTCCTTACTAATTCTTACATTACTACCTACACTCCAGTTTCGTACCTTACCAGTGGAATACTCATTTCCGAGCAGAGTTCTTACGTTGGTGTCTTGTATTGTACTTCTTTGAAGGAACCCGGATTCACCCCATTCTACCATAGGATCACTTTCACGTACCGATCTACGTCCCCGAAATGGTTTGGATGTTTCATGCTCGTCTCGCATCTCTCCAGCGATCTCCGACGATACCTCGATCGGCTGCACTCCACCCAATTCCTCATCCTATTTCTCATCCGTTTCCCACACCGATCCGTTTGACGACCATATGTTACGCGGATTATGTGAACACATCCAGACAGGTGTGAATTACCATACCTCTTCTCCCTCAGTAACTTACCACCATCGCCATCATCATCTCCATTATGATAACCTTGCTCGATCCTCCGGATCAACTCTGGACCACACCTTCACATCACCTGCTCGCCCTCTCACTTCCGAGTCTGACCAACTCGTAAGTTGACTTTGTTCTATGGTGACATACGTTGCCTTAACGCTTTGGTACTGGCTGTACTTTCACATGTGTTCAGAAGCGATATGCTCTGTGATACTCACCACGCGTTTCCTCTAACCTCTCGGTTCTCTGTCCCATGCTGTTACTTCGTTTTAAACTCTATGCTGCCATTAGTCTTTGCTCATTTTGACAAGCCTCATTGGCTTCGTCAAGCTCGATTCTACCATAAGTGGGCTACGGCTATGGGCACACTCATCGCTCATATCTCTCCCAGTATTGCCTGACTTACTATAAGGTACTGATGTAGCATTGCTCTAGAGCTCAGGAAGCACACATCATTCTGCCTCCTGGCATTGTTATGTTTGGAGTTTGCCATTTCGTGGATTTTGATGCAACATAACTTGTGATTGTTGGCAGCTTTCAAAAATCGGTTTCTCAGCAGTCACCTTGGTTATTTTTATACCTTTGAATTTCAACCAACACAGATGCACGTTTAACCTGGTGTTTTCGGTCCCTCATTGGTGCATGATTTTTTTCTGATTATTTGCAACCTGTGATCCGAACCTGCCCATCTCGTTAAAATCTCCTCTTTTAAGTCTGAAATCTCACTCACATCGTTGAAAGAATTCGCAAACTAATTATTGGCCTGTCTTGTGGTCTACAGTCGCCATCTCAATTTTCAACTGTAATGCGCTTGCATCTTGTGGGGCTTGTCGAGTTAGCTCCAGTCGTACAATTGCATCACTCTACTGCAGCGCGCGTTGTGGCAGTGATGTTGCAGGTCATTGAGACCGAATTGTTGTACAGCCTACTCGTTGTCATTAATCCACCTTTCCAACCACTTAGCGTTTCTTTAATCCTTATGTACGATGAGTTCAATCTAGTGGGATTACTGCTGTCACAGACAGGGGAACCCGCTACTTCTGTTCCTTACTCTTAAAGCGTTTCAATAGAGCTAAAAACGATAGCTTTCAAGCTTGCTGCCACTTCAGATGAACTGTTGTGGTCCGAGTTGATGCACTTAGTAGCCCCCGTAGGTGTGTTTATCTTTTGGATCTTCGACTAAGATTTCCCGGTGTTCGTGGTACATTGCCATTTGTGGAATTTATAGGAGTGTTTCATCTGATTTAATCAAAATCAGGGACCGGCCCGTAGCCGTAAGGAACACAAGCCTGCGCTGTAATCCGAAGGCGCGGGTTCGAGCCTTTGTTAGGGGTCGGGCGACCCTCCCAATATCCTTAGCTTCGCTGCGACCGGTGGCGGTTGCGCAACAGCGGAACATCAGTATTGCGTCCCTATGCCTTTCCATCGCAACATGATTGGACATTAGCGTGGTGCGATGGTTTGCGTACTTCCGTGGTCCATTGAGCTATGCTGGGTGGCACTTTCCAAGTCATTGGTTTGGAGTCGGACTAACTCAGCCTCACAATCCAATCCTCTTCGGAGATTAGGGAGAGGTCGATGGCCCTCTTCCTTTAAAACCTAGCCATGGGAGACCACAGGTCCACGGGTTATAATCTCACAGCTCGATTGGCGTAGAGCACGAGCTCCACTCATTGTCTCTGACGGTGGATGGTCACCTCCGGGTGCTCATTGGTTTGCTACTGCCCACCACAAGCCGGGCAGCGCCTGGTCAAATTGGTGCAAACCCGCCAACCCCCACCTGCAGCTGGTCGTGATCGCAGGTGCATCACGTAATACGGTCGTAAACATATGTGCATTGTTCTAAATCTTCAAAGGTTGTGTGTGACAGGCCTAAAGCAGATACCATTGGGTCTCGGCAATCACACTCCCGATGTGGACTTACTTCCCACTGCCTTGTAGGTCAGGTTATTGACCCAAAGGCTCCGGATGGAGTCCCTCAAGCGAACCACCATATCTCCTAATGCCTTGTGGGTCAGCCTGTTGAGTCAAAGGCTAGAGGTAGGGCACCTCAAACAAAACCCCTCTCTCGGAATGGGCAGCCGGAGAACATCATGTATCCTCTCGACCACGTTCACAATACTCCTTCTTCCCTCCTCTCCTTTCTGTTCTCCCTCATCTATTGAGCAAGAGACTGTTACTGACCACGCAGCTACTGCCATCGATACATGTAGCTCTGCCAGCAAACCTGGAGCTTCATTTCACATTGGTTCTTTTAAGATCCGCACTCTAGGTCAGATCGGTTAGCAGGTAACACTGACTCTCACTCTTCACTCTCTTACTATTGATGTGTGCTGTCTCCGAAACACGCATACCACATAACAGCGTGGTGACAAATATTTGACTCCCTGGTTCTGGTTCAGATGACGACGGCTACACTCTTCGCGTTTTTGACGATACTGAGTCAATGGAGTACATGGCCTAGCGAACGTAAGTGATTGATTTTCAGCAAACACTCGAGTGAGGCACCAGAAGGCTTCTTTCCGAAAACCAACTGGCGGACCTCAGCAGTGCTCACCCGGTGTTCCCACCAGACGTGAGCAATGCTCCGCAAGCACTTGTGGACAGACACGGCCAAGCGTTTAATGTTTTCGCCGCGAGCTGACCAGGTCTCTTATCCATACAGTAAGACTGATATTACCGCAGCGTTATACACCCTACCTTAACCTGACATGCTGATATCCCGCCGTCTCCATAGATGCTTGAGTCTATGGAAAGCCACACGGACCTTGCTGTTACACGAAGCAACTTCCTCAGTGATGTGACCACCAAAGGTGACACAGCGACCACCACTTCCAGTGGTTGTTCGTTGATAGCTAGAACCGGAGATGTGTCGGTCCAGTCCTGCAACAGTACTTTGTATTTTGAAGGTGCAAAACACATGCTGAAGTGTGCCGCGCTACGCAATGTTTGCATAGCCACTGCTTCAGATCCAAAAAGAGCTATGTCGTCCGCATACTGCAGGTTTTCTAGTCAGTCACCTGGTAGAACTTCCACTCCGGTAGTGTGAAAGTACGGAGTCACTCATGTTCATTTCGATAACAAAGTTGAAGTGGAAAGGTGATTTAGGGCAACCCTGACGAACCCCACTTGTTATTGAGAACTCTGGGGACAGTTTCCCATAGACCCTTACACTGTCTCGTGAGTCACGGTAGAGAGACTTAAGAAAGGAAAGGAACTTTGCCTGCACCCTCTTCATGTTTAGGCAGTGTCACAAGCTAACGCGGTCCACAGAATCGAAGGCGGCTTTCAAGTCAAGGAAAACCACCATTGTCGGTCGTCTGTATGTGTCGCTGCTTCGACACTTGTGGTTGATACAACCACGACCACTGCAGAAGCTTTCGGTGATTCGGTTCCAACGGGGACCAGTAAATCGTCGGAGAGTGATACCTGTGAGAAGTTTTGGGCAGCGGAAATAATGCTAATGACCCGATGATTGTCACACAAAGTACACTGGTCCTTCTTAAAAATGAACACAACAGTAGACCCGTGTTCCGGATGATCCGGAACAGGACTCGGCTGTTCCCAGTAACACTGGCTTTCTCCATGTTAGGGACCCTTGACATCCACTAGTGTTCCCGGTCGATTCGAGGACTCCTTGCGATGCGTCCTTTCAGAGAGTTACGGACACACGGAAACTCAGTGCCCATCGGAACCTGTTTCCGTGTTTCAATCAAGCTGATCGATGCCTCAGTGATCCATTTATTGTTCAGACATCTCACGGTGGATGCACAACAGGTTCAAAGGCGTTCTTCATGGCACATTTTAGACGATCCCAGTCAGCGTTCGCTCCACTAAGCTCATTCATCCCTGACATTTAGTGGGCCAGTTCGTCAAGATATCGTTGTACTGCAGACTGTAGGTTTAAGTTACAGTTAATGAGGTTAGAAGATGGGTGCTTATTTGAAACGGAAGAAAGCACCAGACTTCTGCGCACTAGGGCATGGTCGGAATTCAGACACGTGCTCCGAATTGACCGACAGTCTTGGACTGGTTTCAAATCACACGTCGAACGAACTGTCGACGTCTCAAGGTGTCTCGTTATATGCCGGACCCTGAATTCAGGTTATTGACCAATCAAAAGGATGGTTTCCCTTAGCCGTAGGCGTTTAGTCTGCGCATTGCACACATTGATGGGATTGTAGCTGGTTCAATGGTACTTGCATAAAAATACAAGTGGGAACGAAACAAGAAGCTGCACGAATAAAGTGGCTTCCATGTGTTTGACCTCCACCCACATCAATATGGCAATGATGTGAGGTCACTGCTGCAATGCGATGTAGCATGAGCTGTCAATGTAACAGCATAGTCTACACATCCGTGTCCAAATGGCACAAGTGGGTGGAGATTGAAACACTCCAGATCACCGATAACATTACGCGTTGCTATATGAAACGATAATGAAGTTGTCCAAACGAAAACTAAGTCAACGCGTGAGCGATTGCATGTGATGAGAAATTCTCAAAGTGCAAATATACGGAAAATAGCGTTGACATTGGATCACATTTTCTTGACTGAGAGCCAGAGTTTGGTTCGGAACCAGGAAGAGGGTTGGATAAACGGTAGTGAGAATCGCAATGAGAGCATTGAGCGGAACGGACTTATCATAGGATAGGTCATTCGGGATTCTTCTACATTGCCCTTGATCGGTAAACAGTTGCGATGGACGATCGTCTTGTCTTTGCGCTCATAATTGTGCACAAATTTCCCAGAACACTTTAAACGGCTTCGCGATGGTAGCGTCTAGACATAGGCTGTATTTCACCCCAGGCAAATCCAAACTACTGCTATAGGATTGGTAGGTGCCTGTGTCTGCCCACACCATTGCTGCTGACGTCCTGGAACCAATCCCCTGCTTCACTTATCTAGGGAGTTGAATCACGTCTGGCAGCGGCGTTGGAGATGAGGTCTCACAACAGATCGCAAGGGCCCGCCTTGCGTTCATCACACCGAGACACCTATGACATCGTCGCGATGTCAGTCTCAAGTTGATGGGCGGTGTGTACGTTGCGGCTGTTCTTGCGATCCTCTTTTACGACTGAGACCTGGTCCATTTGCTCGGACGACGTGAAGCGATTGCCTTTTTTTACAGTCGTTGCCGCACAGTAGCTGAGGTGTTTCTCACTAGCTAACGTGTATATTGATGCTGATGATGGCAGTCGTTATCTGCGTAGGATTGCTTGTGTGTGGTGGCAATATCACGTAAGCAACACAGAACTCCTAGATCGAGTGGTTGGAACAAACATCTGTCTGCAAAACGTTATTCTCCGGCACCACATGTGTTAGCTCTTCCCGTGCTAGCCTGTTGCCTTCCCCCTTATTTGCGCTCCGCGAAAGCGATTAGAAAAAGTACCTCGGTAGGTAACCAATGACGTGGCGAAATTTAAAGAACGCAACTTCCGGCCTAGCATCAGTCGGACCGATCTGCCTTCCAGAATGAGGACCACGCGATTCGGACTATCAGTGATTGGAAATGCTGTAGGTTCTGGCACGCAACGGACATCAATGGCGACAGTGCATCTTTTGTTATTTAATATCTAATCGCACATAAAAACTCCAATACACAAAGGGACTCAAAATGGCAAATATAAAACCCAATAAACCTTTTACTCTGCTGTCGTTTTTCGTTTCCCCTTTTTTACCATGTTTCCGGTGGCACATTGCCTGTACTCAGATTGTGAATATGGTTGGCGGCATCCGGTTTCGGATTTGCCTGTCACTGTGGCCAGCCACAGGACGTCTGCGTCTACAGAGTGACCTTGGGTGATTTACAATGCACCACCCACAGCTCCATCCACACACCCCATATTCAGTGTAAACCCGAAGGACTAAGACCGGGAGGCATGTGGATGGGAGCCACGTTTCATCAACGGAGCCGGCCCACACTCTTTCACAGGCAAACACAAGCCCGCTGTATTTAGGAATCAAGCGCACATAAGGCGGTGGCTGGACCGTAGTCCGCTTCACACTGAGTGCATGGAACCACTTTTCGAGCCTAGCACGACCACAAGGACCGTGCACCCCGTTCCCTCCAGTAAAGACCAACTATTTCCTGGAGCCAGTATGGACGAGTTAGTGGGTAATAGACAGGTAGGCATCTTGTCAACATGCATATCAAGCGCAGCCATACTGGGGATATCAAGCAACAGCCAATCAGTTAAAACGACGATATCAGATGAAATGAATCGAATAATGCATACAGATGTTGTGACATAACTCATCACTAAATGATGGTGTGATATAAATTGGTTGCCAACAAATCCGTGAAAGGCTCAAGCATAACAAAATATTCGAAGCAAATGCCACAGACACGAAAATGCCATCGAAATTAACTACGATTAACTTCAGCAGAGTGCAAGTACAGGTGGACAATAATATGAGAAATAAAACCATCAGGACAGAATTGAAAAGCCGTCATCTGAAATAAAGTGACTCGGCATGCAAGCATGCGGTTAATAAAGCGAATGCAGCCTACCTACCAACGTTGCGCCGTTTTTGCCTAACTTCTCAGCATGAGTCGTCGTCGTTTCGGTGGTGGCCTCGCTCATGGCTCATTAGGCCTGCCTGACTCAGGCACTCGCGACCGCATGTGCTACAGTACCATGCGCTCGATGTCGATGGAGTACAACCCATCGGTGCTTGCCGCTTCTTCTCCGCACGCATGATTACATTCTCTTGCATATATATATATATATATGTTATGTCTGAAATATATGGTAACAAAGCTATTTATCCCTCCTCAACCTTTGTTTGGGAGGATGTCGTGGTAGAGTTCCTCTAAGAGCCTTCTGATTTAAGTCCTTTAATCGGCTCTACACGATCGTTTAAAGTGCCAGTCGGTGAGTTTTGGGAAGCGGATTGCGCATCATGCAAAGCAACATGCCTGTTAATCACCTCGGTTTCAGTACAGTTTTCGGTTGACTACACTAGCGGATGGGGTACAGTTACGAGTTCTTTCGTGTTTTATTTTGCTGTCTCATTTGCCTATTAAATTATTTTCCATCTCTCTCGAATCCCTCTACTTTGGTTACCATCAATGTAGTTTTCTTTTGATTTTTGGAGTCAAGTCAACGACACCCGGTCCGTTTCGATGCACACCATATATTTGATCAATTTAAAACTAAATTGGTCCCACGTCCAAATTTCTATTCACTGTTTTCCACGAACTGTTCGTAACTTTATTCAAATGCTGTATTTTATCTTGGGTTATTGTTGTTTGAACGTCCGAAAATCATTTGCCTGTGGATATGATATCCAGCAAGATAGCTATGGATGGCTTATCCTCAGTGATGATCCTCGTGACCGTTGCTTGTAACTTATCCCCATGTCTCATTCATTTTTCAGGACGGTGACCACACAACCGACGCACGTGATTTCACTAACTCTGGTCCCTGTTTCGTTTCCGAGCCGACTGACTCGAATCTGAAGAGATGTCAACATCGGCGTTCTCATCTGCATCACCACCACGTCCACTTGCATGCTGCCCATTTACATCACCACCATCGTCATCGCGGCGGCATCAACAACACTGACACCATTGCACATGAACCCAACTGCAATTTAGAGTTTATCAATCCCTTATCTTTGTCCCCTTCGCATGCTGTTCTCAGGAACTCTGCAAAACCGGCTTTTATCGATACTGTCGTGGGCCACGCAGGAAGTTCTACTGGTATTAACACGTCCATGGACCCTTCCATCAGCCCTCACAGGCTTGATGCTACGGCTACCAACACCTGTTTCCACAACTTCGCCCCACCGCTGTATGTTAACCGGGTTAATCATGGTGAGTCAGGCTACATTTTTGCACACGCAGCATTCATACTAGTTTTGATGACTTCCAACCGCATTCCAGGAAGCGGCGTCTAGTTTCTATCTTGCTTCCCTTACGTTCTTCATACGTCGGAGGTTTTTCGACCCATCTTCTCTAAATTGGTTACTCATGCTCAACTATGACCCTATGTACTTCGTACCTTTGTCCATATCTATGTTTGACCACTGTTGCCGCCTCTGATTTCCCTGCTGCTCTCACACATTACTCAGAACTTTGAAGTGCGTTCCAGTCACCCTCCAAAAATGTCTACCGACGTTGCAACAGCCTCATTTCCTCCAGTCCTCTTCATTATCCTACCGACTAACCTGCACCTAATATGGAGACGTTATCTCCCCATTTCATATCTTCAGTCTTGGCTAATAATTGCGGAATAAGCGGATATCTCATACACTTAGCTCATTGCTCTTTTTGTCACCTTCCCAGTAAAATACGTTGCCGCGTGCAATCAGCAGGATGTTGGTTTCTGATATCCATTTCTCTCTCCTCCATTTCCGCCTATACAAGTGTTAAGTTGGTCAAAGTCCATTTTTGTTTTCATCTACCTTCTATATTAACTAAACCGGAGCTTACCACCCCGCTTTCATCCATTGCATCGCTTGCTGGTGCTTATTCATCGTGGACCAGGGCGCCATCCGATACGCAGTGAACTTGGGTTCCTCCCAGCATAATTTCTTACATGTACCAAACAGTAATGTACGGCATCAGAGTTGATCGTGCCGCCATCAGCTACGGAGACCACATGTTAGTCCAAGGTTGCCTGCTGATTTTAGACATTCACTAACATCCCGCTCATACATAGTGTGCTTCTATCGACAATAAAACATGTATTTATTTATCTATTACTGCCAGCCTAAATCTCGATCGCATATCTCTCACTCTCCCAGTCTCAGCACATCGCTCAGCCGTAAGCTTACCTACGGATCAGATGCCTTGATGTGGCTCATAACGAATAAATCTCGATCCATACTCCTTCGCCAGTTTGCGGAACTAACGCAGTGTTTGCAAACTCAGTAATGGCTCGTAGCCGAAGCAACGCTAAGGTAGCAGAACACGCCGATTTGATAGTACGCATTGTTTTATGCTAACAACCTGTGGTTGTCCCCGTGGATGCCACAGTGACAAGCAAATTCGGACACGGATGCTGCCAATTCATGACAACAACCATCTAGCATGTAGCTGAGAGCAACTCGGCAATAGGTAGGTGAGCGATAGACAAACCTTCACTCGTATACGTATGGACATTCAATACTGGGTGTGCGGACATCTGACTGGAGACGGTGTTTCCTGCGCCACAATACCTCTCGCTCTCCCAGTCTCAGCAATCCCCCAAACGTGTTTATCTACACTACACCTAAAACCCCGGTTCTACCAATGCCAGTAAGCACAATCGTCCCCAACGGAGTGGGCCGAATTGCAATTGAAATCGCATCTTGCACGTAATAACGGTGTTTAGGGCTTCGCGCAAGGCTGCGTCCAACGCTATCTATACACTCGTTCTCATCACTCGTATGTTGAACACCGTTTTCGTTGAATTTTAGAACATGGTTTCATCGGAGTGTCCGCTGCACTGTGAAACGGCTTCCTGCCATGAATCTCATCATTATTCATTAGTGTTGGCGCGTAGTAAATGCCTGGTATCCAACAGAGCCAGTCGAATGCTGTTTCCTCTCATCTGGTACACGGTTCCAAGCAAGCTGAGAAAGCTAGTGTTCTGCTCTCGAAATCACCGATTCGAACGGTGCGTGGAACACACCGAAGACCAGTTCAGCTGATGGCCCACCGTTTTGTCATCATTTGTGAAATAAACTGTGCATCATACTACTCAGATATCATAACTGCAAATATCGAATTCACGTTATTGAAGGGTAACATGGTGCCCTTACTCAGAGAACTCCACTCATCCTTACTGAAAGGCGGTGACAACCTATTTGCGTCCATCTTAACTGTTCCATTCAGCATCATTTGGTGCATTAAGATTGTATCTACTTCTTTGTGGTATATTGGGTCGTTGAACACCATGCGATACTCATAGGCGCAAATTATTTCTTGCTACTTCCAGCTGCTCACTTGACCTCTCGAAAGTGGAATAGGTCTAGCTTATGCACTAATATTGGTTGTGTTGACCACATATTCACGATTCACCGTACGATGGGCACACTTCGTGCATGCGGATGGCTCACCACGGTAGTCTTTTTCGGCTTTTAGGCCACTCTCGACCCATTTGGTCGCAATTGGACACGAATACATCTGTCACCGAGTAATGTGCCGAAGAAATTCGTTCGTTACTCTTTTTACTCCTCCCGGCACCACGGGTTTTTCCCTGGGTTCTACACGACAACTATGATACTGCCAGACTTGCGATTGCACTACTCATACATGTAACACTAGGCCACCTGGTTCTTTCTGATTTTGCAATATGGCACGTAGTCGGTTGATAAATTTGGAAGTCGGTTGTTGCTTGTCTCCTTGGATCGTGCCCATTTGATGCACGAACTCTTTTAGGTCATCGTCATCATCACAACACAAGTTGAAGTTGTGAAGCACACTTCAGCTATTGTGTCCCAATGTAAAGACATCTAAAAAAATCGTGACACTAGATGTGGCAGAATACAACAAATGAAAACAAGTAATACCATTAACAGTATCACATTATACATGGGTTGTGAGATCATGGTTGGAGGGAGAAGATAGGCGGAAGAGGGGCAGACAAAGAGACTCATAACACAAACGCCATTGAGATCGGCTCTTCGCCACGTCAACAAATGTATCCATCTTAACGTTCTCAACGTCCTGTCAGCTGCTATTACCTTGGGGAAGATTGAGTCCCTGTTTGTTATCTTACCAAACGAAAAGCGTATGAACCGAGAAGTCGGTCACCGGCTCCCAATGGGCGCGATTCCCTGAATTCGCCCCGCTGCCTTGCAGCTAGGCTATTGAGCCAAAGGCTCGGGATGATGTCCCCTAAGTCAACAACCTACTTCAGCCTTGGCAACCGGGTAGTATCGCGTTCGCTGCCAAAAACCATGGATCACACCGTTGTTTCGCATTCTCTCACTCCTGCCTCCGCTTCTCCCCAAACTTCCTAACACGCCAATCATTCTTTTGTTAGTAATCCATGTTTCCCTCGACTTGACCCCGATACCGGTTTCGCTGCTGCGCGTGATGTCCTATCTGAGGCTATTCTTCGACTCCGATTTTGTTTCCGGCTGACAACCCTAAATGTCCGGACGCTTATGCAAATTGGTCAACTGCCGGCCTTGCAGGTACTCTGAGTTCCCCCGCCATTGATATCTGCTGCCGCCTCTCCGAAACACGATTGTATGTCCAAAGTGCTATGCTCAAGTTGAAATCTCCGACCAACCAGGAAGCCACGTGTCACCTACGTTTATTTGGCGACGCAGAAGCTGCTTCCGCTGGCTTAGCCGGCGTTGATGTGGCCTTAAGCAACAAAGCCGATGCTGCACTTCTTGAATTGTTCCTAGTTAACAGCCGACTTTGTGCAGTTCGGCTCCAAGGCTCATGCAGGATTAACAGACATCGCGCTGATAGGTATAATCTGTTTGTAATTGCTGCTTACGCGCCAACCGATTGTAACTCTGATCTGAACAAGGACATTTTTCCCACCAGCTTCATCAGCTATTACGCAAACCTGTCAAGTCGAACGTCATTGTCCTCGCCGGAGACTTCAACACACGTCTCGATCGACTGTTACCAGGTGAATATCACCTGGGTTGTCATCATGCACTAAACGAAGTCGTTCAGATAACGGGACCACGCTTTTCAATTTGTGCGAAGATAGCCTATTTCTCGCAAGCACAAACTTCAGGCACTCGATGAGACGCTGGGCCACCTGGCGTCCCCCTTCACTGTCGCAGGCTTGGTCCTAAAAGACCACATTGTAATCAGTTTCAGGTGGCGTGACAGCGCACAAGACTGTACATCATTTTGGTCTACCTACCTCAATTCAGATCACGCACTGGTCTATGCCAACATTTGTATGTGATTCGGAGGAAATCAGAAACGGTGGCTTTGTAAGCTTGATACGAACCGGCTAGCTGGTCTTTCGACTCAGATAGACTATCAGCTATCACTGAAAGCACACTAGCCTGTGTCCCGCCCACTGATATTGAACACCACTGGAAATTCTTGCAGCAAGCAATGTTAACTTCAGGTCAATCGGTCGGTGAGTTATCACATCACCCCGTGAATGGTTGGATATCGGTGCGCTCCCTGGCATGTTTCAACTGCTGCCGAACTCTCAGTAAACCCAGACTAAACCCAAACCAGAAGACAACTTAAATGAACCCTTCGCAGCGAGCGGGAATTACGGTGATCCCAACGCGTCTTGGAGATGGAGGCCGCTGCCCTCACTCGAAACACTCTTAAGCTGTTTCAGCTCGTTCGGACCACCTGGACACAGGAGGTCTGGTATCAGCGAGGTCATTTGTATAGCAGACGGGTCACAAAGCACACATTTGCAGAGACGCATGGACAGATGGGCTTAGCATTTCCAGTCTCAGTTCAGTTGTTCTTCGCCATCCACCTTTACACTCAATACACCCAGTCGCATGCCATGGTTAGTACCGCTCGAACCACCAATTGATTCGGAGGTTTGTCTTGAGATTCGTCACTTGAACCGCTTCAAGGTGGCCGGCTCAGATTAATTTAACCTAGAGTTGTTCACATACGGTGGTACAGCAGTCGTCAAGCAGCTAACATATCTGTTTTTGAAGATCTGGCAGGAAGAAAGGGTCCCCTCTTCCTAAGGGCAGTCAATCATTGTTTCAATATTCAAGAGAGGTTCTCAAACTTCGTGTGTCAATTACAGGGGGCATTAGTCTGATATCGGTTGCCTCCAAGGTACTAGCATCCATCATACTGCGCAGGTTATCCTCCACTCTTGAGTCCCACTACCGGGAGGAGCAGCCTGGTTTTCACCACGGTCGAGGATGTCTGGATCACATTTTAACTCGTCGCCAACTCCTGGAACATCGTCACCACCACCTCAGACCCCCCATTGTAACTTTCCTGGATATTCGGGCGGCGTTCGACTCGCTAGATCGACCTGCTTTATGGAACTGTCTTAAAGAATGGAGTTCCCGAAAAGTACGCAACCATACTTCGTGCGCTATGCCTCCACACCTCTGGCCGAGTGAGAGTCTATGGCACGGTTTCCCCCCTCTGCCCTGTCTCCAGTGGCGTGCAACAAGGGTGCTCAATCTCACCGTTCTTATTCAGGTTTGCGATCGACGATGTCCTTTCGGGAGCTTTACAACGTCTGCAGAACATCGACATCAAGCTTCTTTCAGATAATCGCGCGACCGACTTAGACTACACTGATGATATCGCCTTGTTCATTGATGACCCCATTGGATGCAGTCGATCATTGCTCGATTTATTGATTGAAGCGTCTGAGTTTGTTATGCGCTTTGCCCCCTCTAAGTGCCAAATTCTTTTACAGGACTGGCATGCCCCCATTCCTCAGTTCACCATTGTAGGCACACAGCTCAACAGGTAGGGTTTTATCTACCTAAAGAGCTCTGTCTGCTGACAGCACTATTGGAGCGGAGGTATCCCTTCGTATTGCTAAAGCCCGGTCAACGTTTGTGGCGGCTTCGCGACATTTCACTCTCACTGAAAGGCAGGGTTTACAAAGCCTGTGTACGCGCGACGTTGCTGTACGGATGCGAATCCTGGTCATTCCGTGTGAAAGGCATGCGCAGTCTTTCAGCCTTCGACAGTAGCTTTTTGCGGATGATTGCCCGCATGTATTGTCAATACCGAATGTGCAATGATGACGTCAGACACCGCGTCTTGAGTAAGGCGGATGTTCCGGTTTGTGATGTTGTCCGGCTGCGTCAATTGATGGTTTGGCCACGTCCTGCGCATGCCTAACGAGCGTTTAACACGCCGCGCACGCAGAGTTACTTCGGGGAAGTCCGCGTGAAAGTCAATCGTCTATCTCACGATAACGGATGAAATCGCTGACATCTTGCCTGGCCATTGCTCGCCTCGTTCGACTGGCTCATAACGCTGGAAGCAATGGCGCGAAACCAGTCGCAGTGGAACCAGCGCGTACAAGTGTGCCTGATCTCACGTTTACAAAACCACTAACTTAAAAACCGCAACAAAGCACAACGTAGCGTGTGTATAACGACAATTTCATTCACGTTTTGTACGTTTTATTATTCTTAATTCCAAATTTCATTCTTTCGAATGGTTCGATGTTTATTATTTAGACAGCTGCCTATATATATATATATATATATATATATATATACTCCTGAGTTGGGGATATTTTGATATAATAAAGTGAGGTTCTTCACCCAACAGGCTGAAACTGCAGTCTAGTGCTTTTCCGGGCATGTGGACGTCTCTGATTTGGAATCAGGCTCCCCCGCCTATGTCAGCCAATATGGTTGGTGCTTTTGATGCGGCTTGTGCTTACGGTGTTCGTGTGGGGCACAGTATTGATGGTGGGTTACTGAATATCCGTCGTTTTGCGGCAAGAACCCTAGTGTATCGGACAGCCATCTATAAGTTACTGTTTGCCGACGACTGTGCGTCATTTGCACACAGCGCGGATGGGTTACAGCACATCACTAGTGCTTTGGCTTCGACAGCCTTCTCCAGAAGTGGAATCCGTTTGCCTGACGCAAATGGACATTGGCAATGACGTTATGGAATTTACTTCGAGATTTCGCTACTTAGAAAGCCTAATGTCTACCGACCTGCAAATGACGAGCGAGCTGCGCGTATCAAAAGCGGCTGCAACATTTGGCAAGTAAGAAATATCTGTGTGGAACCATCGCCAGCCTACTGTTGAAACGAAGTTGTTGATATACCAATTTATGGGGCTGTCCGTACTTTCATACGGCAGTGAAAATTTGACGCTACACCAAAAGGACATCCGTTATCCTGAGCGTTTTCATCACCAGTGCCTGCGTCTGATTCTACTCATCGGTTGGAGTGACGGTTTGCAGACACGGAAGTCGTGCGCCGCAGTGGCATGTATGCAGTGGACTGCATACTTTTGTTGCGGCACCTGGGTTGGATCGGACATATCAGCCATATGGATTCGACGCAGATGCCGAAGCAGTTGCCATATGGATAACATGTAGGAAAGCGGCATGTGGAAAGACCGAAGTTGCGTTACCAGGACATGATCAAGACGAGTTTATCACGACCTGATGTTGATTTCAAGTGCTTGTAATGAAAGGTAGCAGAACGACTCGGATGGCGAATGCTTATCAAGTTGGCAAGGTGGCAGTTGCCCAGGTGCAGTATAAATCACTATTGTATACGGAAGAGACGTTGGTTGAGGATTGTCAGACGTAACACATGCGATTACGAGTGCCTGAGCCAAGCGAGCCTGATACGCCACCAGCGGGGCCAACGTCCAAAAGACGACGAATCAGCTGCTTATCTGATCTGAATCAGCGCTGCGTTCGCTCCCATTCGATTTGCCAACCTAAAACAACAAGGCGGTTGAATTGGTTCGTGTGCTACATCATTGCAATTAGTTTGTACCTGTGTTGGTTTATTGCGATTCTCGCATTTCAGTTGCTGGCTGATGATTGAAATCCCCGGTGTGACTGCCCTTGATACTAATGTTGACATGGTGCCTACCTTTCTAACACCCTCCACTTCGATTACTGTTTTCAGGAGACTGTGTATCGTTGCTGATGCGACGGGGTGCACAGTCCTGGTGACGGTGCCATGCTCAAAGTACGATTTCATCCAGTGTGGAACAGACTACTGCTCGACCACCGCCTTGTGTACGTCTGGTACGCGTGATCCCCTACCTTGATAAACGGGAATGCTACTACTGTGCATGTTAAAGGAGTATGGGCCGGCTCTGTTTATGAAACTTGGCTTCCATCCACATGCATTCCGGTCTTATTCCTTCGGGTCTATACTGGATTTGGGTGTGAGGTGGTGCAGCGCAAGCCACCTTTGGTCCCTCTGTTGGTGCGGGCGTCCTGTGACTGTCCTCTTAGTGGCCACAGTAACAGGCAAAGCCGGAACCGGATGCCGCCTGCCATATATAATCATCAGTCAAGGAAATGGTCATGGAGCCATTGAAGTAACCATGGAAATCAAAGAGAGCTCATTGTGACCAACGATAAAACGCAACTTTTTCGCATATTTTTCGCGCCGATTTTATCATTTTCATTATGTACACAATTCTTATATTGGTTCTGGTTGCGGGCCATGTCTTCATGCGTGTTAAGCCATTGGCACTCATGATGCTTGTGTCCCCATCCAGGCAGACTTATGGGTCCAACGGCGGCCAGGCGTGACCTCATCGGTTTCATGTGCTGTCGCTTAATGGATGGCTGATCACCACACGGTCGTTTTCGGTCTTGTACTGAACGAGCGAATAGACCGCAGTGCTGCAACCGCTCAGGCGCCATGCGTAAGACGTGATCGAGCCATCTCAAGTGGTGCAGCAAAACCAACTTGTTGCGGTAAATACTCGGATTTTCCAGGACATGACGTCTATCGTCATTGCTGTGAACTCGATGCTGCCTCCACATGCGAGTAATTCTCCACAAAATGACGTTGTCGAAGACGAAGACGGCGCATATCCTGCAAGCAAATTGGCCAGGCCCTGCTCCTATACAACAGCACTGGATGAACAGAGGCATAGTAAACGTGACCCTTTATCGAATTAGTGACGTCCTGGTGACGCCACAAGCGCATCAGAGTAACAAATGCTGATCGGGTCTTAGGGATGCAAAGAGAAACTTCCTTACTGATAATGTGGCCATTAGAAACGCATCCCCCAAAGTAAGCGCAACTATTTAGCTGCTCAATTTGTACACGAGGGTGGGTTTGGGTCGATGCTTGAGCAGCACTTTACATTTCGATGGGCGAAACTCACGCCACACTTATAAGCTTCAACCGCCAGTCGACTCCGAATGAGTTGCATACATGATAGGTTGGCACCTGTTACCCCGTGCCTGAGGAATTTGTCTGGCAATGTTCCGCTACCATTTAGTGACGCAGTTGTCAGTGCTATTGGTTCGTCGTACATTAAACATCTGTGCCATCACCGTTGTGTCGTCGGGTTGTAGTTGCTGTATTTGGCCGCAGAACCGGTTGGCATCTATTTCTAACCATAACTAAAATGCTCTTAGCTTCATCATCGTCAGGTGGCACTGATCATCTAACGTACATCTTCTGTATCTTGAATGATGCATCACTGTTCTCCTAACACCTGTCACACACACACACACAATGATATTTGTCATTTGCCGTCATTTTGCATATGCCCCCGGTCTTTCGAGTACCATTTGTATTCCAACGCCTTTCCTACAACATCGCACCCAAACTCAAATTTCGTTCCAGTATCTATCAATCTTCAATTTGTGTCCATACAACTATCACGAATAGCTAATGGCGTTCTCATTAATTGAGGCATTGATTGTTCGAGCTTCTCAACCCATACTGTCCTCAGCCTTTCTTACAGTTACGACCTTTAATTATGATATCTCCTTATCATCATTTTGGATTCATTCCTCTTACTGCATCTGGTAGATCCTTTCATCGTTGCGCAAAACGGTAATGCCTTACCTCCATCTTCCTTCCCAAATTTCCATATCCCACCCACTTTGTACTCAGACACATCGGCCAATTTGTCCACTAGCACTCATCCAACTCAGTCCTCCAGTGTCGTCACCGTTCGGTCTTCTGTCTTGGCTGATAGTGCTTATCGACGGCAACCCACAAGTCCGAGAGCCAGTGGCTCCAAAAAGGAACATGGCGAACGGTAAGGGGTTTCGTTTTTACTTACTTTACATCTTTCCTGCGCGGCGTACCCTGTATGATGCTATTTGTGTGCTGAATCAACTATAAGTAGGTCCATAGTACACATTCAACTTCGCTTAGGCCTAGACCTTAAGTCCGAGTACTACACGAGAACCTTCATTCACATCGTCAACTTAGAAGGAATTGGTTTTGTTGGGCCCCTGATTTTCGCGTAATTCTTATTACCTTTACCTTTCCGGTACGCGCTATTAAGTTGATCATATTGCACATATTTCCTGGTCTGGGCCTTTTCTTCTCCCTGTCAGCCACCATACTTTGCTTTAATCAGCGTTTTGGCTGAAATCCCGTACGTGCTCCGTTCCCCATTGATTATCCACTGGCGTTTCGTTTTACACGTGCTTTTCTGTGATCAACCGCACTACCTATACGTCGGACACTATAGTCCGAGCGTCAATGAACCACGGATCCCGTTGTCTCAGTCAATCTCCACACTGTGGTAATAGAGATGAGCGAAACTTTAATTGGTTTATTCGGAAATATGCGGATTGCGAAAATAGTGCTTCTGACTTTTGTACTTGCTTTCACCATTGATCTGGCTCACACCCATCATGTAGTTTCTTCGGTCGAGTGTCCTGGACTAGCAAAAAAATACAATCATGATGGGTTGGTTTCTAGCTAAACCCTTCTAACATCAAGTGTCCGACCTCATTTTCGGGCCTCAAGTACCTACCGCCATCTTGACAACCATGGCGTGTCGTATCGAAGGAGCCCAACCCTTTCGATCAGCACAGGCCTCATTCAACACTGTTCTGGCTACATTCGGAACCATCCGTCGATTTTACCCTCCTCTTGGGTGCGCGCTACCTGTTCTCGATGAGTTTACTCCATCGCGTGCTTGCACATTTTCCTGTCTTCCTAATAAGACCACACTGTCCCTTTTACCTTGTGGCGTTCAACGTTCGCACTCTAGGACAAATAGATCAACAGGCTACACTCGCACCCACATTGGACACACTGGGTATTGACGTGTGTTGTGTGTCCGAAACTTGGATCAATCACCCTCACGAGGTTGTTGGATTAACTGCGCCCGGCTTGTCTTCTCGCTACTGGTTGCGTGCATCCGGAGACGCTGATGCGACAAGCACTGATCAAGGCTGAGTCATCATTGGTTATTTGGATTCCCGTGAACAACCATTTGTAGGCAGTTCGTTTGATGACATCAACTAAGGTCGATCAGCGAAGGAATACTAGACACTGCCTATGCTTTCCGCTTATGCTCCTACCGGCTGCAGTTCTAATGCTACTAAGGACACCTTCTACCACGAACTGAGCACGCTGCTTCGCAGTACTGCCAGTTTAGATATCATAGTACTTGCAAGGGATATGCATGTGCAATTGGGTTGTCTGAGCTCTTCAGAAACTCAGCAAGGTGGTATAGATGGACTCAACTCCGACCGTACGGATAAGGGCGAGCGTCTATTGCAACTATGTACGGAACACCGACTGTTTCTTGGTAGCACCGCCGAAGTTCCACTTGGCGTCCACGTACAACTGACAAGCGATGACCCAACTAGATCACATTGCCATTAGTTACTGGTGGTATGCTTCTATCCTGAGTTCTCCCTTGTTCTGGAGTGTTTCCGTCGACTCTGGTCATGCCTTGGCACACTGTCGTTTTTCCATGACATTTACCGGGAGGCGTACGTCGATTGGCAACTGAGAAATTATCTCAGCCCTCGGTCACACAGACTTACCAGGATGCTCTACTAATCAAGTTTTCGCTCTCTCGTCCGAATGACATCGGGCTTCAATGGAAGAAGACCTCAGCTGCCATGCACTATGCAGGAGCCTCTGCTTTCGGCACTATTAATCGTCATGACATCAGTCAGTGGATATCCGTGACGTCGGTAAACCTGTTGGAATCCTGAAGAAAACACCCGTCTGACTCAGGGCACAATGTAACTAGGCGGACTATTCGGCGCGAAGTAGAGCGGAGCCTACATACTGACAAGAAAACCTGGTGGACGAGTAGGACTCAAAAAATGAAGGAAGCAGAAGCAGTCGGCAATTTCAAGCTCTTCCAATCGATCCGCATCAATGGCTCTAGAAAACCAGGCGTCAGCGAGACAATACGGATGACCTGATTCACAATAAGAAGCGCCGTACGGCTTGTTGGGCAGAGCACTTTCTATACCGGTCCAGTTGTCCCCCTGTTCATACTCCGTTGATGCAGGCTGAGCCATGGCCGGTCAGTTTAGAGACTCCGTCAGAGGCTGTCCGAAAAGCTGTCGTTTTCGTTCTGATGCCCGGATTCCCTCGCACCCGCATTACTTAAAGATGGTGATATGGTCCTCCGCGAACCACTGACCTCCCTGTTCGAATAAGTCTAGAAAGAAGAAACCATCCCAGCCAACTGGATCGAAACAATTATAATGACAATGTACAAGAAGAGCAGCCACACCGACTGCTAACCAGTGATATTAGCCTAACATCAGTTGTGATAAAATTACTGGCCTCAGTTCTCGTTCCTCGCCTCATTATGGAACGAGAAGGCCAGCTTAGGAGAGAGCAAGCAGCCTTCCTCCCCGAATGTGGATGTATAAATTATATAATTACTCTGCGCCAGATGTTGTAGCAGCGCCACACATGCTGCATGCCGGCAATAGCTGTGTTCCTCGACTTCAAGAGTGCATTCGACTTTATCGATCCATTGTGTTCGAAATACTTCGCTGAAGGGCGTTCCCATGAGACGTGAACCTTTTGCATGCCTTGTACTCAAACACCACACGCCAAGTCAGGGTCCCGTGATTTGTCGGATGTCTTCTCGACAACAGGTGGCGTTCGTCCGGGTTGCCCGATATTCCCGTTTTTATTCAATTTCGTCTTGGACTCATAGTGTGTTCCTTTGCTTAATTTCACGATGTAAGCGTTGAGGTTCTACCTGATGAAAGGTTAGTTAATCTTGGTTATGCGGACGATATTATCTTGCTTTTTAACGAATTTGGGGCTGCCCAATCAACCTAGAATAACCTTTCTAGAGCGATCCCATCATTTGGCATGCGCCACGCACCTTTAAAATGTGAAGTGTTGTTACAAGACCACCGGCCACTTGATGACCCCTTGACTCTTGACTGCAAGAAACTTGAGGAAATTGATCAGTTCATTTACTTTGTCAGCTGCATTGGCAATGATAGGTTAGTTCCAACATAGCAGAGCTAAATGCATTAACACTTGATGAAAGAATGTCAGTGATTCGACAAAGCCAAGAAGAAAAAGTTCACGAACGTTGGCTGAACCTTTAGTAGACAAGGTACAAATCTTTAGAACTTTGCAGTGGAAAGCCGAGGTTTTCAATGACTTTGTAAACAACGCACCAGACTGGAAAAAAAACTGTAGAAAAGCGGGAAATGATGGCATAAACACACTTGCTTGTAAATGGCAACAATCTGCACTCGCAAGAAAGTCCAATTATCTGGACCAATAATTCAACTATGAGTTTTCATGTTGCAAAAGAGTTATTAAACTCAGACTTGAATTAACCAAACGCTTGGCTGCAGGCTTTCATCAATAAGCGCCATCTTATGTTTGGTAAGCAATGTGGCTAGAGCTGTGACTCAGATATATGGGCTGCATCAGACTCGACAGCAAAATTACCCGAAATATGTTCTGGATACTTTGCTCAAGACATTTTTAGTTTACATGAAACTTGGTTGTTATTCGAAGCGACGTCGGAAGACACATTTATTCAGAGGAAAAAAATGCGCGGGTGCCTTCCCTTCTCCCAACAGCCCGTACAGAGGTGATATCAGGCTGTTAAAATTCCTGACGAATTTACCGCAATGTCCGGCGCGGCCCAAAAATGCTCGAGGACTGCGTTTTGAGGTCGGAACTGAGGTGTTTCTAATTGCCAATACTTTCTGTGGTAGTGGCTTGAATTCACCCTGACCCACCTTGTGACCGAGCAATGTCACAGAAGTTTTCCTGATTTGAGATTTAGGTCCATTTATCCGCAATCCTGACTGCTGAATGTTTTGCAACGTTGCTTCCAGATAACGGTGGTGTTCTGTCTGACTCACTACATACCACGATGTCGTCTCCATACACAGCCACAATCTCTAATCCATCCACCAAGCGCAACATCAAATGTCGGAAGGTGGATGGCGCCCCAGACAAATCAGACGGCACCCTTTAAATAGGTAGTGCTTATCACCGACAACATACGCTGTCTTCTACTGGTCTTTTTGTTTGATCGCCAGCTGCCAGTAACCATATCTCAAGTCCAGTACCGTAAATAACGTTGACTTCTGCACTGTCGAACATATCTGCCACTGACGGCACCGAGACGAAACGACAGCGAGATTTCGCTCAGCCTTCTGAAGTCCGCGCAAAAGCGGTACTTCTTCATCAAAACAATTGGGGTTATAGGGCTGTTGGCCTCTTCGACCACACCTGCATCTTCCTTCTGACCTCAGACTCCTGGAGTACTGACACTTCTGGGTCTATGCGGCCGATAGGACTGATGCGATAACGGAATTGTGTGTTCTATCCAGTCACAAAATCCATAAGGACTACTATCGTCCGTGAATAGGATGTCGTACTTTCCTTCGAGCGGTTACAAGGCTGGACTCGTGTGTAATACTGCCATGACCGAGTGTACCTGTGTGGATCCTTCTTTGCCAACAAGTGGTATAGCTACGTATTTCGTCATCAGCTTTCCTCGTTTCAGGTCGACGATGGCTTCGCTGACTTGGATGAAGTCTACACCCAGGATTGTCTGTTTTACATCCGGTGACACGGCGAAGAGATGGTTGAAATTCTGATCGCATGCACCAACCACGTGTTCCGCCATACCATTTATGCGTATATCGCAACCACCAATCGCTTTCACCGCCATGGGAAACGACTTTTCACTCCATCTGTGATTGAGTAGTGAAATTTCATCCCCTGTATTAATCACACCTATGTTTTCCTATCCACTTCTGCCATTGCTGCAGTCAAACT